TTTCCTATCGACAGTACTCGGGGACCTCTAGTGATCAAGACTAGGGTAAAAATCTGCCGAAGTTCCCCTTTAAAAAAGGTAACAGAAACAGTTTTTTAAAACAAGGCTAGGCTATCTTATAGCTGTTTGGTCCACTCGCTGGGCATCAGTAATCACCTTTTGTTGCACATAATCGGGCACTTGGCAGCTTAATGAGGGCGCCGGCTCTTGTTAAAAAGATACCCTGTGGAGTTTCCATTGTAAACAATCTGCTTAATTCAACATTTCTCACACATTGTGTGTCCTAAAGGCCTTACATATAGATACACACACACACATACAGGTTGAATTCATTGCAACTACTGATTATTTCCACTAGTTCATCTGTTGATTTTTTATTTTTAACAATATATAATGTATTTGATGATGAAAAATGTCCATCACAATTTCCTACAGTCCAAAGTGACATCTTAAATTACTGATCATGTTAAGTATCAATTATAGTTCAGAGAAACACAGTAACATTTAACATGCTGGAACCAGCTAATTTGTGTTTGATAAACGACTAAAACAGTGTTTTATCAATTATCAACTACTTAACGGAGTGACCATATCAGTACAACCTCACAGAGACTTTTTTTTTTAATATAAAACAGGGCTGGTTTTACTGGAACACTGCTACCTTTATAGCACATTACCTTGCCTTTATATACATTACATGTAATGTATATAAGAGGAAAACATTTCTCTACAGCACTACTGGTGCTGAAAACATCCATAGTACCTTCAAGTGACACACTTTATCTGACAACCAATCAAGTTTTAATGTTAATTACTCTAGTCATGTCACAGCTAAAGCTACAGTGTCAGTAAAAGTCAACATCCAGTCAGCTACTCAGAGAAAAGTAGCATTGTTTTGTGTCAACATTTGGCCACTTCCAGATAAAAACATGACTTCTCTGTAGCTTTTGCTTCCTTCAGCTGACACTGCCTCAAAATGGGTCAAGAAGCTGCTTTGATGGGGTCTCAACATCACAAGAGAAGCCAGCGTTTTCATTTCCCTGGGTCCTGAGGTCACAGACTAAATTTGTCATTTGGAACCCAGACTGAAACTGTTTAATAACTCCTGCCTCTAATCTATAAATGAGTTCAAATCCCCTTTGTGGCTTTCTCTTAGCTCATCCCTTTGTCCGCTTTGCCACTGTCCAAATGAACAGCAAACACCCACTGTGAAGAGCCATCAAGTCTTGGCAACTCTGCGTGTCAAACACCTACTAAAGGAGTTCAATGGAACCCTGGCAATGCCATGCGGCCGCAGCTGGTCGAGGAGCCAGCTTTCTAACCCATGCATGAGTCTCTTACATGGGCCACAGGGGTCTGCTGCTCTGTTGAGGGGCAACTTTCCCCTCTAATCCCTTTGCTGCTGTTCGATAATCCCTTCACTGCTTGCTTTGCTGCTTTCTTTGCTGTAATCCCCCTGCCTGAATAAAAAGAATAGACGGAGGAGGACGGGCTACATAGTGTCTCACACAGACGGGACAGACGGCTCTGTCAGTCTCTAAGCTTCCTGTCAATCAGCACAACCAGGATCTGATCCACCCAGTCATAAATGCAGCCCATGTGCTGTTCTTTCTGGACTCTGAAAAATGCTTTAGATATCAAAC